TACCCCCAAAAAGACAAACAAAAGCTCTCATATATGGAGTCAAAATGGATATTTGATAATTTTCCTAATTCATAATTCAGAATTCAGAATTCAGAACAACATACCTCTTAATGTAATTATTGTACTTTCAGATGTCAAACTTCAGAGCAAACAAACAGGCCCTTGGGCCTAATAACTCTTTAACCATGCTTTGTAAATRAAAACAAATGTTATCAATCCAAAACTCAACAAGAACAAAYAGGGAATTGGTGATTGAAGGTTTATTAACTAATTCCACATTTCTAGAAAACTTTCATCATTTTTAAGTTTTCCAAATATCTCAGTGAAATTAGTGAAATATCTCCGAAATTTCTCCAACTCTTCAAGGTGAAATGTTTATCACTGTCAAAACAACAAACCATAATTGCAACAAGACATGCTTAAGGTAGAGTTATAGAGAAAACTTCTAAGGCACAAAGAAATATTATAGATAATGTAACTGACCTTTTCACATACAAAAATTTTAAAAGCCAATACAGTAAGGAATTGAAACAATGGAGGCATTGGCAAGTCCTCTGTAACATTTTCCTGCAACCCAGAATTTCCATGAGAACTAATTTCATTTTATGTCAAAATGRCATCATGAAGAAGGGAAAAGAACCAAAAGAAATTGGCCTACAAATTATCCAGCTGATTATCCAGTGAACAATKGAAAGGATTATAGAGAAATACAAATAAATACCTTTAGCTGGTTCCAACAATCCCAGAAGTACTGCAGAAATTTATCTTCTGAAATATCCAACCTAAATAAATATAGTATTAGTAACAACAAAGCTATGAACTAACAATTTAAAACGACATGCATGAAACAGTTTGAAGACAGCCAATAAATAGTTCAAAAGTTACAAGCAAAGGATTCATGTCTTAACCAAATACAGTTCAAATTGAGTCTCTTCCTGCGTTCAACTTAGAGTGTAAGTAATACATTGAATCAACAATGTTAAGTTCTGAGTCAACTCGAAGCAGTGTTACCATGGAATCTGGCAAGAGTGCCAAGTATCCAGGTGTCCAACACATCAAAATCCAGAAATTATTGCAAGGTGACATCAATAAATCAATGCTTTTTCTTTTGTTTTGAAAATAAAGTAAAATTTGTTGAAGGATCAATGAATAAAATATAACCAGAACCTGTAAAATTTGTTGAAGGATCAATGAATAAAATATTACCAGAACCTGCTATGGCACCCAACAAACTACAGTAAAACACTGTAACCAAAGTGAGCAGATCTACAAAAAACTATATGGGAAATAAACAACATTAATATATAGAGTATTAAAACAAGAAAAATAAGGACTCACTTSAAAAATCAACRTTTTGACAGCAGAAGAAAAACAGCCTTTTGAAAAGAAAGGACTGTTCAAAAAGTTGCAGAAAATCAAAAAGAAGCAGTAGAAATCAGGTTTCAAGAAGAGAGAAGAAGAAGAAGAAGAAGAAGAAGAAAGTGGTGGCAACTAGGGTTCAGAGAGAGATTTTCGAACATAACCTTCTCTCTTACACCCCTAATTCTATTTCATTAAGTTAAACTTTAATAATTTACAGAGAGGCCCCTAGTTGGGCAGAAAATTAAAAAATATCACACAAGAAAGAATAAAGACCAGATTAAGGCCCACTACAGCAAAGAACATAAAAAATAAAAGATTAAGGCCCATTACAAAAATAAAAAAGATTTTGTAAAAATCTTTTCCTAAAAAAACCAATGTTGGCGAATAGATAATTAGCTTACTATTTTAATATGGTTCACTTACTAAATCACTACAATTCAACAGAAAAAGAAAAGTGTGTGTAACCACAAAAGAGTATTCTCRATCTAATCAAAACACACAATAACAAGGAAGGGAAAAGGTCAAAKGGAAAATAAAAACATTTAATGAAAAGAAGATGGCTGAAAGACYAAAAGGGAGACAACAAACAAAGAGTACCTATTAAAGTTTTAATTTTCTCCTATTTGGTTTATATAGTTCTTTGCTATAGTTTTTCTGAGCCTTAGGGGTGTGCAATTACACTTCTTCTAACAACTCCTTAAACATTTATTAATTGATTCCATGTTACTAGAAAACTTTCTTGAATTTTTATATTTCCCAAATATCTTAGTGAAATATCTCCAAAATTTCCCCATCTCTACTTGATGAAATGTCCACTGTATTGAAATTGCGAACCATGGACTGAACCACCATGACCCCAGTTTGTTATTTTGCATCCATCTTATTACATTACTTGAATCACCTTTCACTCAAGGTTTAAGCCATTGAGTGATCTACTATACCTTAATCCATGGAGTAAAGATGAAAACTCTGCTGGCAATGGGTTTCCATTGCCTATCAGTTCTGAACACATGGCCATAATAGCACCATCATGATGGCTAAATATTCCCCTTACACTCGATGGCCCTGGGTTGCCAATGTTGCTACTGTCAAAGTTGAGCTTTATCTAATTTACAAGAGGTCGAGTCTAGCAATAGAGATGTGATTGAATTATATATGATGATTCAGTTATCAGCCTCCACTCCCTAGATATGACATTCACTATAAAATCATTAAATAAGGTCGAGGTTTTTGACCAATTTGCCACCCTAATCAGAATATTTTATCGTAGGCTTTCCTTTTCTCGGTTTTCCCCTCTAAAGATTCTTGTGTTTCTTTCCCCTCTTTCTCCTTAGATTGAAGCAGCTATTTTTTCTCGCTTTGCTCGCTAACCGAAGTTCTGAGAACCCCCTATTTGCCAATGTAGTTCATTCATTCACCCTAATAAAATATCTTCTTAAAAGGCAATAAAATTATAAAATCATTATCTTTTGTGTGATAACTACAAACTAAAGACCCTAACATGGACTTGTTTGGGCTTGCCTCGAGGGGCTTGGTACAAAGGTGGCTCATAGAGAAATACAATATATTTTACATCACATTAGCTGCTTAAAGTAACGCAATTGAGGAAGAAAAGAGGTTGTGGGTTTTACATGCTTGAAAATGTTTYATATGTTTGATTTTAYTTTTAAACTTTCATTTGAATACGCTTTACATGTTTTGTTTATGTATTTTAGTTTTAGATAATAGGTTTTCTAAAACATTTATTTTAAAATGAAAGTTTATATTTTTTATTAATATTATGTTTAATATTTTTTATTTTTTTGCATTTCTTTTTAATTTTTCTGGCATCTTTTTTTGTATTTTTACACCTTGCGCCTCGAGCGAAAATTGCCCCTTGCACTTTTAGAACACTAGGCATCTTAGAACACCAACAACTAGAGTGAACAAGAAAGGAGAGATGGGATCACCTTGCCTAAGACCTTTCCTAGCAGGGAAGAARTCCTTAACCTTAAGCGGTCCTTATCCACAACCTCAAATGCTCTCCAAAACCACTTTTTTTTTTCAAAATCTCCTCTAAAATCCCAAATCTACCATATCTTAGGCTTTCTCTAGATTTAGTTTGTAGACCCACTCTTTACATCTAGATTTCCTAATTTCCCAAACACATTCATTTGCAATCATGGTTCACAACCAGAGGTGCTTGTGAGAAATTACTGTGGTGATAAGTGTTTTAAGCACTGATTACATTATTGTGGTTCAAGACTAGTGGTCATTTACTCTTTCCATGTTTCTTGAAATGTGAGAGGTAGATAGCACTAGATGGTTCGTGATTAGGTTGTTTTGAAGCTGTGGTGTTTGTAGAAATTTCTATAAGTGTTTGTGCTATGCAGTGTGCCCCTTTGTGCATGATGATTTTATAGTAACTTGGGTGTGGTGACAGTCATGATCTTTGCCTACAAGATGATTGTTTGATGGTCTTAGTGTGGGCAGCAAGCTGTGGTCTTTTGATTGGATGATTAGTTCTTGAGATTGGCAATTAGACTTATTGAGTTCCCTTGCACCGATAGTTCTTGAATGATTCAAATGATAAACCCAAATTTTATAGTTGTTGCTAGAAGTAGTGGTCATGGTGGTGTCAAATATGGAGGAAGTTAGAGGTGGTGCCACAAGTGGTGGTKGACATAAGCAGGTGCGTGAATGCAGCCATTGCAGACATAAAGGACATATGGTTAAGTTTTGTTCTGACTTGTATGTCTCACCTTCCATTTGGGCTAATGATGCTACAGTTGGAGACCATTCTAGTAATCTTACACCAGTTGGTGGAGCATCTGCTTTAGGTGGGAGGGAGAAGGATATATATATATATATATAT